TAAAATAAAATAAAATAAAATAAAATAAAATAAAATAAAACGGAAGGAAAACTTGATCAAGAATAGAGTTTATTCTTATGGGGAAAATTTAAAACAACAAAAATTTCCTCCCTGACGGGAAACGGAGGCTGAAATTACTTCCCAAGTAATTAAGGTGAGCGGCAGATTATCAAAGCATTCTGCATACTTAAGTAGTCGCTTGTGTACTTTGTGTCCACATCAATACCACGCGTACACTGAGACCGGTTTCGAGCGGCGTCCCCACCGCCTGGAGATGCACCTTCAGGGCCCCATCACAACTGGGAGGCACTTCGTCAGCACAACCAGCAATGTCATCATTTGCAACTTAGGTATACTGACGAATGAATCAGTTGCTAAATTCTTAATAGGCAACTAATGCTACATCTGATGACCCTAATTATTAGGTAGTTCAAACATTGAGAGAATCTGTCCAAAATCACAAAGCATTTACCACTCACAAAGAATTTTTGCATGTTTTTCTTATTAAGGCTTCCAAATGTGAAGAAAAAGGATGAGGCTGCTAGATGGTTCAGAAAATCTGGGTCCAAGGGGTAAGCCCTAGAAATAAATCAGCATGTCACTTCCTAAGGGAAACCTCTTCAGTTCTGGGTAATCTATTAATTTAGGAGTAACAGTCCTACCCAGGGGACGTTTATGTAGTGCAAAATGAACAAACCAGGAAAGCCCCGTGACACAAGAGTGTAGAAAACTACGATGCTCTCTGCACAATGACATCAGGCTGAGCCAAGCAGGTGGACGACAGTGGTCAAGGTGGCCTTCAAGAGCAGCTTACATTATTCTTGGAAGAAGACACTTACTAACCTCTTTCTGTAGATTGGAAAGCTGAGACGAAAGGCTCTCAATTCTCATACGACTTTCCATCAGCTCTTCCCTGGCACTGTTGACAGTAGAAGTATTCATCTCTGATGACAGTCTGGCATTCTCCAGCTAAAAGAAGAACAAACAAGAGTCAGCCTTATCTAGTGACTTAGAGCAAACAATGAGGAAGTATGATTCATCTCAAGGCATTTCGGTTCAAACCTAAGCCCTACTAGTAACTGGCTGATGAAACAGGAAAAGCATCATGAAGTTTGCTGGCATGGTATGAATTATCTTACACGTCTTTCTGACTTTAGGTTCAATTCCCAACATATGAGCTTAATAATGGTAATACATGAGGTTCTCTCCCCAAAGTTTATTACTTACATATTTTACCTATTTCTAATGTGTTAGGTAATACTGCTAATGAGGAGACTGGGTACTAGCAACTTAATTGTGGGTGATGTCTGTAGAAAAATAAACATCACATATCTCTAACCCACCAAATCTAATTAGAGAAGATAAAGCCAGGGGCGCCTGGGAGGCCCAGTCGGTTAACTGTCTGACTCTTGATCTCTCGGCTCAGGTCATGATCTCACCGTTCGTAAGTTCCAGCCCCACATGTGGCTCCAAGCTGACAGTGTGGAGCCTGCTTGGGATTCTCTCAAAATAAATAAACTTAAAAAAAAAAAAAAAAAAAAAGATAAAGCCAAAAGCAGAGAGTACTAACTTATAGATTATTTCCCACCAAGTAGAACACTTCCTTTCAGAAGCAAAATATAGCCCCTTAGACAGAAACATCCTATTTCTCCAAATGCCCATAGCATTCAGCTCTGCGTGTGCCTCAGACACATTTTTCTGACGTTGTTAGTCTGTTGGCTCCCTCTGGGGACACAGTCTATGTGACGGACGAAACCTACGTTATACTTTGGCTCCTTCACTGCCCAGCACAATGCCTAGTATGGAGTATCAGACAATTCAATGTAAGGTTTCAAAGATCCCTCCCTTTCACTAGCCAAGGACTACTTCAGAAATGAATTCAAAGCAACATCAACAGTTTGAGGCCATTCAACAGAAATTATATTCAACATTTCGATGACCTTAATTTTTCTAAGTCTTCCACTAACTCTTTTTAATCAAATCATTTACATTTCACACACTGGGATAAAATCCTTTATGAGGAAAGCCTACACTCATTGGTGTTAAAGATTTTTGCATGATCTGCTAACACAAGTGGAAAGTTTCTATAGTATTTTTAGATGAATAATGGCGGCAGAGGAAGAAATACCACACTTCCCATTTAGCCTCTGTTCAAAAAAGCTTGAGTTGTGGTGGTCGCAACCAATGCACAATGATGCCATGCAAGTCAGAACGAGGTGCCGTCTGACATTCATTCGCTGTTAAATGCACATGTAGGACAGCATGATTAGTACTGGCCACGGGGAGGGAAGTATTTTCAGAAGGCTTGGGTTTAACTATTAAGACACAACTTACCTCTATTAAGAAACCCTTACCCCTGATATGGGTGAAATAACCCTACTTTCTTTGAATAATTTCTAGTATCATTTACGTTATAGAAAACTTTTTTAAAAAGTCCATTTTCGAGGCGCCGCAGTGGCTCAGTCGGTTAAGTGGCCGACTTTGGCTCAGGTCATGATCTCATGGTCCATGAGTTCAAGCCCTGCATCGGGCTCTAGGCTGACAGCTCAGAGCCCAGAGCCTGCTTCGGATCTGTGTCTCCCTCTCTCTGGCCCTTCCCCGCTCACGCACTGTCTGTGTCTCTCAAAAATGAATAAACATTAAAAAAAACTTTTTTTAAGTCCATTTTCTATTTTCATAGAGACTAGAGGAACTCATTTAGGAAAACTAGAACAAGGCAACCATCAAGTCATATTCTTCAGGGTGCCTGATGCAAGGGTTCTCAGGACTCAAGCCCGTGCTCACAGGAGACCGCTCACTTTGGCATGGTAAGTCTGCTCCAGCTCCTCCTTGTACAGCTTCACTTGGGCATCGTGTTGCTCTCGCATCTCGTGAAGGGCCTGAGCCAGCTTGTACTCATACTCAATCTGACGTCCAGAATCCACCTCCACCAAGCGAGTTTCATGCTTCCTCCTGGTCTCGTTAATCTCCTGGGGGAAACAATTACACGAAACCAAGTTACCTACCGCGGCTGCACTAGTACCAATCCAAGCAACATCTGGGCCACTTTAAGTGTTACACGCTAACCTCCCTTTGTCTCTCCTACAGCGGGCAGGTGAAAAGACCTCGCTTTTGCCTTTGCTTGCAAAGGAGATTTGTGAGATGGAACTAATGACAGAAACGAGAGCCCTAAGAATTTTGTGTTTCTTTTCAGTGGCACAGCTATATACTTCTCTCAAGACCAGGAACGGCGTGAAGACTTACAAAAGTACCATGCAACCATGGATTAACTATGTGCACTGATTACCATCTGTCTTTCTACACTGGTGTAATGATGATCCTCAGGACATCTCTAGAAAAAACCCACGTGAAAAGTTAAACTTGCCAACCGGGGCAACTTTAACTACAAGATTTATGTATAATAAAACTATCTACTTAAACATACTAAGATGCAAGCTAATTTATGTGACTTATTTTAACAGCTGGTGCTAAGGTATGAATATCAACTGATATGAAACTGTACTAACAATGGGGCACCTTGGTGGCTCGGTCAGTTAAGCGTCCAACTCAGGTCACAATCTCATGGTTTGTGAGTTCCAGACCCACATGAGGCTCTGTGCTCACAGTGCAAGGCCTGCTTGGGATTCTCACTCTCTCACTCTCTCCCCTCCCTGCTCACATGCTTGCTCGCTCTCTCTCTCTCTACCAAAAAGAAATAAATGTTTAAAAAAAAAAAAAATTAACAATATTACTTTACTCTCTCAAGTACATATGATCATTCACTATTTAAGATCAGAAATAGTAGGCATAATCCTTCACTTTATGTTATAAAGAAGTATCCAAAACTAGGATGCCTAGAAAGACAAGTCCCAAAATAAAACCTCCATTCCAGCTTCTAGCGCTGGAAATACAAAAGAGCTGTCTTTAATGGCAATAATTCAAGAGGCCACAAGAGGGGGATATAACCCACCGACATTTGTTTTTGTGTCCTCTTCCTGCACGTGGTTCCCTATGCATTTCCTCATCTTCCTTTTAAATGTTCATTGCAGAGGAAAATGCGCTTGACAGAATCTGAAAACCAGGGTTCAAATTCCAGTTCTGTCTCCCAGGGCTGACATAAACTTGATGAAGCAAATGACACTTAAATCATGAAAACACGCAAATGAAAGGTTTTTAGTTCAACAAATACTAAACACCTACTGATTTTGCCCTTTGTCTACCTCCTTTCCTCCTCTTCCTGTTTTTCATCTTCCTCTTTCTCGCCTCCTAATCCTTAATTGTTCATAGTAAGGAACTTAAGTATAATTATTGAAAAGTATTATATCCTCTGTTAAAAACATGAATATTTTACATTCATTCTCTCATAAAAGGCAAAACCCAAAATATTCAAAGATGCTATGCAACCCCCAAAATACTACTTTTTGTTGGTGCCATTTTTCATTTATTATTTTATGTAGAATCCGTGACTTGCAAAGGAAAAAACAATACCCTATTCTTGGTTTAAAGATGCAGGAGTCCACACACAGCATAAAAACTAAGTAATGATACACCATCGGCAATTTTATCAAAACAAAACAATAATGTAAGTCAACTTAATATAAAAATATCTCCATTTATAAAGCAAAGCTGTAGTTAACAATTAAATGACAGCATTCGCTATAATCTTTACAAGGAACTACACAAAATATTCCACTTTGATGGTCACCACTCTTCTAAGAAAAAAATAGCAAGTATTAGTATTTCACTTTTAAATAAATGACTCAAGAGTTGTCCAAAGTCTGTTTGCCCAGTAAGTGCACTGTGCCCCCCATACCTGTATGTTTTAATAGCATGTAGTTACAAAAATAGTCAAATTTCTATTTTATTATTTTTTTCGCCAATTAACAAAAAATTTTAAGTTCCACACTAATTCCCCATTTTTTACATCACTGTTAACAGTTTTCAAAAATTATATTACCTCTAAAATCATGAAGTATTTAATTGCAGGTTCCATATACCCTGGGTTCATTCCAATCCTCTTCAATTTTGAGAAAATATACGTACATTCCCCGTTCTCTTCAATTTTATTACTTGTTTTTTGGCAACAGCTGCTACCTTCCCCAACCAAGGCTTGACCACAGAAGTCAAGGCTTGTAAACAATATTTTAAAATATACATATATAACTGTAAATGCTGTGGGCAGCCTGCCTTCAAGATGATCCCCAATCTTGATTGCTGCCTCCTGACAGTCACACCCTTGTAGAATCCCACAGTGCATCATGGTTGGTCTGTGTGGTAAGAGAGTGATGGTACATCACTCTGTGGGATTAGAAAGGTTATAGCAGATAATGAGGCTTCTGTCTTGCATTCTCTCTTTCTCTCTCATCATGAGCAGCCCCGTGGAAAAGCCCAAGATGAAGTGACTCTTCATGCCAGCAACCTGTGCATGAGCTCAGAAGCGGTTCCTCCGTCCAGGATGAAAGCCTGACGGCAGCCTCATGAGAGACTCTAATAACAAGGCAGTTAGTTAAGCAGCTCTCAGATTCCTGACCTTCAGAAACTGTGACATAACAGAGATCTGTGGTTTAAAGTTGGTAAATTTTAGAGTAACTTATTAACGAAGCAACAGATAACTAATACAAATGCTTAAACAGGTTGATATTAACTGCTATGACCAAGCCTCTATGAATCAGATAAAGTGAAATCCTATCTGTTTATCTTAAGAGTTTGAGTTCTTACATACAACATTTCAGCAGCAGTGCCTTGAATAATTCATCTAGAAAACCCCTCCAACTTTATATATATATATATGGTTAGAACAAATCTTTTAGGATCCCCCCATTTCTTACAAAAACAAAACTATACAGTTACCTCCTCATACATGTTTTTACGAAACTCCAGGTCCTCAGTAAGGCTCTGACAGCGATTCTCTAAATCCACTTTAAGTAAAGTTTCATCTGCTAACTGTTTCTTGGCAGCAGCTAAGGAGGCTTCCAACTAATATAAGGGAAAAAAATTGATGAAAATCACAAAGCGATTATTTAGTAATGAATTTAATAGACACCTATGGACTGAATCTAATCAAGTCTTAAAACTTCCGTATCTCTTATCTTTATCTTCTCTTTTACCAATATATGAGAGTCTCTTATTACAACCTTTATCACAGAACTGTGTAGTCAACTGCTGGTCCCACCCAGAACGCCACACCAAAACCTCTCAGATCTGGTAACTGCCAACGAGTAATAGGCACATACCGATGATTTTTACCACTACTTTCATTTGTTTCCTGCGTGTGGAGCAGTGGTATGAGTTTTTCTTTTCCGATCTTACAGTTTGGTGCAATAACGAAAGAGGTTTTGAGAGCAAAGATAAGCATAAGCACAACAAAAACGAAGAAGAGCACCAGTAAGATCTGCATGACCCACAAGTGCAATGACTGAGAAGCGAAGATACTTTGTATGTCAGCTGCGTTAAGACTATCTTTCAGGTAAGCCACAAAAAAAATCATGATAAATTTTAAAAACAAAAAATATTTTCAAATTTAATTCAAAACTCAATCAATCAACCGAGTCGGATGGGGCAACTAAACTCCCAATATGGTTCAAAGGCAGAGTTTGCCTTACCTGGGCAATCTGATCCTTCAGATCCTCCAAATCTGCCTCTAAACTTTTTTTGTCACCAAGTGCAGTGGCCAGAGCTGCATCTTTAGAATTCAATGCTGCTTCATATTCTCGAAGCTTGATCTGGGCTCCATTAAGATCCGATTCCTTCTTAGCATAACTGTAAGACATTTAAAGGTACAAGATACCAAATTATACCCCTGACTTGAAGCCTTCCCCCTCCTTGCTGAAGGGCAAACAAAAGAAGATGCAGTTTAAATAAAGGCTGCCATAATCTACTAAAATTAGATGAGCAATTCAGGAGCACTGCATCTACAACTCTGGTGGATAACAACATTCTCTTTCAATGCCTTTCCTTCCATGATTACTAATGATTCTAGGTCAAAAAAGAAGTCCATAAGGCCATTGTTCCAAAATCTTGGCTGTCACTAAGAACATATGCCCTTCTTGTTCTATAAGGAGACACTACATATTTCAATAAGAGAAGATGTTTTTGAAGAAATAGAAAAGTATTATTTTAAAATACAATTAATATGGGGCGCCTGGGTGGTTCAGTCGGTTAAGCGGCCGACTACGGCTCAGGTCATAATCTCAGAGTCCGTGGGTTTGAGCCCCGCACTGGGCTCTGTGCTGACAGCTCAGAGCCTGGAGCCTGCTTTGGATTCTGCATCTCCCTCTCTCTGCCCCTCCCCCACTTGCACTCTGCCTCTGTCTCTCAAAAATGAATAAAACGCTAAAATAAATAAATAAAATTAAATTAGCATTAAATCCAAGACCCACAGGACACATAAATCAAGATATACAATGAGATTAAATAAATGAAAATGAAGTTATTTTAAAAAGCAGTTTTATGACCTGAAAATACATCATATAGAAATCTTTTAATTTACTTTTATTTGAAGTATAGTTGATACACAATGTATTAGTTTCTGGTGCTCAACACAATGATTTTGACATTTATATTCATTTACAAAATACTTATTACCATGATACGTGCAGTTATCATCTGTCACCATAGAAAGTTGTTACATTATTATGGAGCACATTTCCTATACTGTACTGTACATATCCCCATGGCTTACTTATAACTCGTTTGTACCTCTTAATCCCCCTCACCTATTTTACCCAACCCCCATCCCCCTGGTAACCATATTAGTTCTCTATATCTGAGTCTGTTTCTGTTTTATTTTAGGCAGACACTCCCTCAATATTACATAAGAACTAACTGATCCCAGGCTTGCAAACACTTTCCATTTCTTACAGAGGCGATTTTAAGATTTCCCTAACTTAGAAATAACGGCTTCCCTAATATCTCGAGGAAATACTATTTCAGTTTATACTATTAACCCTCCAAAATGAGATTTGAAGTTTCTCTGTCTTCTAAATTACATCACTTTTCATTAAATGAAGTTCTATATTATAGAATTAAGGCTCCTTTGGATATATTTTGTCAAATAATTATATTTTAAAGGAAAGTATTTTTTTCATTCCAAACAATTATTAGGCACCAGGAAAGCCTCAAGACCAAAATTCTCCATAACAATTCTTAATTAAACTGCTATTGTCGAAGAACGTTTCTACAAGTGATGTTTGAGAATGGTCTAGAAGAGGAATCCTTAGTTAACAGGAATTTTTAAATTAATCTTATACTACTCAAATAAAATGGAAAAAAAAAAACCTGTCCAAAGTATTCATCTCTTACTCGTTTGGTATCATAGAACAACTATATATATAAAATCTCATCAGTCCTTTCCCAGTAACTTTTTTCCTAAATTCTGTATTTTTAACAAACCACAAGATGGCATCCTTTCACTGATGTCTTGTTCAGGAGAGGGGAAAAATTAGTTGTTAAAAAGCAATCCCATACAGTCATTAATTTAAAACAAAAATGCTTAGTTCATACAACGGCCAGGTTCTAAAGCAGAGAATTCATTAGAACAGAATCAGTGTTCGTGAGGAGTTCTGTCCCACATAAATGAGCAGAGCTGGGCAGAAACACGTCATAAAACATGATTTAAAACAAACTCATATTTTACAGATTATACAATATTCACAAAAAATACTGGCTTGCTTAACAATCACAAAAAATTCTACTACACTATCTTTGTGCGTGCGTG